GCAGAGGGCAAGAAAAATACCCTTATTTTGTGGCAGGTCTTATTAGGCTGTACAGTAGCCAGCCAGATCAGCTGCACAGAAGTCTCCTACAGAATAGGCTATTGAGAATACAGTATTCTTTCTGGAGACTGGAAATTGAAATTTTCAGGCACTGGCTATGTGTGTAGTCTCAGTTTCTTGCCTCAGAAGCTTGTGTTGCACATGTGCAACAGCTAATAACAGCGAATGAGCCAGATCCGTGGCCTGTAGTTTAATCTGTGTTTTAATTTCACAGAAGTGGTTCTCAAGATAGACCTTTCATTTTTACCTAGCTTTCCACGTAGCATTGTTATGCCTATTCTTCAAAATGTGCTAACTGCAGAAAAAATCACCCATATATTCCTTAGATGTCCATCAAGCACTGACCTTTTATAATTAAAGAGAGGCATTTTACTCTTTTGGCAGTGTGTTATGCAAATGAGAAGAAAGGGACCTGGTCTCATCTCAAACACCGGCAAAATGAGTCACTTCCACAATTATTTTTTATGAAAGAGACAAGTCTCCCAAAGAGTCAAGAGTCCGTCTACCAAGCCAGTAGCTGCTTTGGTAGCTTTTCTTGAAAGATTGTCACACCAAATATTTACACAAGAATGATTTGGTTCTTATGTACTCATTCATTTATTGTTATCATTACCACACAAGAGCACAGGACAGATGCAGCTTTTGGGAGAATCATTTTGTCAAAATTGATAGCATGACATCTTCCCTCTTCCAATAAATCAGCTTGTTAATCTCTTATAGGCAGGAGTTACAGAGCCCAGAGAAAGTAGAACAGATGAAATTCATATAAACCAGTAGCCTCCCTTGCTATCCCTATGGTAGACTAGGAACTAAGGGAGTGGCTGAAGTTGTAGTGGGACATGATCATTGAGTGGAAGCAGTCTTCCCCACAGAATGTGTTGCTCAGCCGCAGAAAGTTCGGAGGTCCTTAGTGCCGAATAAGCCATGCGTGTAAGTTGAAAAGAACTGTTCTTTCTGCATATTTTGTTTGAATGACCCACCTGTTCGTTGGCTATCTGGGCTTGCCCTCACTGACACAGCCAACTTGTGTGTGGGCTGTTACACTTGGAACTCCATGTGGAAGGTCACAAGGATGAATGCTTCTCAATGAAAAAGGGGGAAATAAATATTTATTTATTTATTTATTTATTTGATTGATTGATTGATTGATTGATTGATTGATTGATTGATTGATTGATTGATTGATTGATTGATTGATTGATTGATTGATTGATTGATTGATTGATTGATTTCTATACCGCCCATCTGACAGCCAAGGCCACTTTTTTATATGAAAAGCTAGGAAGCAGGATTATTCTCCATGAGGAAACTTTGTGAACAGCCCAGACACAGTTTGCCACCTTAGTGACAGCTGTTTATTATGTTATCATTCATAATGCATATTTCTGCCTGTGAGCTCAAGGGGACATACAGAAGGCGTACATGATTCTCCTCCTCTGCCCCCTTTGCAACCATTGTTAGTGAGGGCTGGAACTTGTATCTCTGAAGTCACAATTGAACATTGTAATCATTACATCACACTGCTTGCCTCACCCCAAAAAACACAAGCAATCTAAACTTTCTAGGCCTTAGATTACCCTTTTCCATGCAGTGCTGCTCCATAACCCTGGAAAGTACAGGTTCATCTAAGCTGTAGCATGCCAGTCAAATACATGAGAAGTGTTTTACCCAGAAAGAATAAAACTACTTAAGTAAGAGCCTGTATAATAGAGTTGGAGGTGTTTCAAAGAAGTGTTCTATTGAGTCCATAAGAGCAGTGTTATCTGTCTCTTACAGCCTTTTCCGCATCTACTTCAGTGAACTTTGGTACTATTTTGCATTCCTCAGCTACCCAGTGCATTTTCTAATTATCACTGGTCTTCGTTTGATATGCCAAGCACATGGCCCATCAGAATTCTCTCAGAGTCTTCCTTCTTTTTCTTACCTTCCTGTCAGTTGGTAACCATTCCAATTTTAAAAGAGAGGATTTGTCCAACCAGATCTTTCGATTAGAGCTCATGCAGTCACAACCGGGAATGAAACTGACGGCCAGACATGGCTGCAGTTGCCCTATAAAGATGGGGAAATGTCGTTTTGTTTTATTCTGGGGTGGTTTTTTTTTAAACAACAAAAGGGAAATAGGGAAGAAGAGAACTGGGTCTTCTCTCTCTTCTTTCACCTTCCCTTCCCATGCTCCATTACTTCAGACAGTTCTTTGTCAGTTCAGCTCTAACATCAGAAGTATGTGCTGCTAAAAAATGAGTGCCTTAAGCTCTCAGTCCATGCAGCAGGGATGATTCAGTGCCCCTCCTTCTCTGAGCCCTTTTAATGAACAAGAGAGTCAGGCTCTTTTATAATCTTATGTGAATATACAATACATATAATACATGGGGAACTGCATGAAATAGAAAACAAAAATTATAACTGTTCAAAACAAAGTGTAAAAACTGCATTATAGAAAGGTTTGTAAGAAGATACACAACAGCTATGTGCAAATCAAGGTACCCCCCCATCACATGTGGTTTGATCTTAGCCATCTCTCTACTTGTTGCCATTCAATGCCCCTACACTCTACCTGATCTCTTCTCTGGGTTTTTAGTTTAGAAAATCTACTGCCTCTGCCCTGCCAGGATTAAATGCTTGTTTCCCTTTTAGAGGGGCAATATTGAAAGAAAAATATTTACCAATCCCCTGTTAGGCTAGACTGGTACTGGCCACCATTGCATGCCCCTACACTCTACCTGATCTCTTCTCTATCTATCAGGAAAAAAAGTTCCTCTAAAGAAAAACCTGGCCAGCGGGCAAGTACTTCCCAATTCCTTTTTCCAGTCTCTTTTCCAGTGTCTGGTCTTCATTCCACTGAAGTCAGAGATTGCCTTCTTTTGCAGGCCAGGTTGGAAAAACACATGGATAAGAGTACTGGACCTTATTGGCTGAGATCTTCCTCACGTATTTTTCCTGGCTTCATTGTTAACTTTCACGTCCATTCTCTCTGCACTGAAGATAGTGAAGAAAACCAGAGAATTACATAAGAGATCTGGGGCTCATTTTCACAGCTCAACAGAAGCGGCTTGGTCCCATACTTTGTGAGAGGCAGTGTAGATGTTAGGGTGGAATGCAGGTATCAAGTTAGTGCATTCTCATGAAAGAAGAACAAAAGCGTTGCATTATTTTCTAAGAAAGAACAAAAAAAAATAGATAAAGTCAGCAGGTTTTCTGTTTATGTTGCTACATCATGAACAGATGAGCAGCTTGTTGACTAAGAAAGAGGGCAACTCCACATTGAGGTGGATGCCCCCCAACTCTGTCACAAGGCATCTAAGTACGGATATGTTCTTCCTGTCAGCCCTGGCAAGTTCCTGTCATCCACAGGTGTTCATCCTTCCAACCTGATCAAGATCAGAAGATTTGTTTTTTAACTTATCAAAAAGGTCTTCCTTTTCATCTTGCTACTTTGCCCAAGGCCTTTGTCAAAAGCCCATTGACAGTGATTACATATCCCAAAATGCAAGTCTTTTACTGAACACCTGAATAGGGTACAGCTGACACTGTGGTGGAAGTGACAAAATGCAGGAGCTGACAGTAATTTTGTTTTTTGCCTGTACCTTGCCAGTGTCCCTGGCTGCAAATCCCAATGGGCATACGTTCACCTAAAGCTCTGCCATCAACAAGGACCCTCCCGCTAATGTCAAGAGGCCCATCCACTCTCCTACAACCTTCTTCTCATCTAATGATTTTAGCTACTTTACTTTTGTCCACCACCCCTACACCTCCCACTTCAACAGCAACAATTGTTAAAACTTTGATAGTGATGATTCTTTGTCACCCTGTCTGTATCCTGGGTCACAGAAAAACAGTATAAACAGGACATCCAGCCATATGATTCAAAGGACTCTGTTTCCTCTATAGCAGTGATGGTGAACCTCTTTGAGACCCAGTGCCCAAACTGCAACACAAAACTTCCTTATTTATTTCAAAGTGCCAACACTGCAATTAAACCTGAATACTGGGGTTTTAGTTTAGAAAATCTACTGCCTCTGCCCTGCAAGGATTAAATGCTTGTTTCCCTTTTAGAGGGGCAATATTGAAAGAAAAATATTTACCAATCCCCTGTTAGGCTAGACTGGTACTGGCCACCATTGCACCCCTCTGCTGGACTACTACACCAGCAGAGGGGAGTGCCAAAATCCGGGATCGGAGGACAGGTAAGTCTTTCTTGATGGTGACTACAGAGAGGTCTTTGGGTGCCAGCTGCGGCACGCGTGCCATAGGTTCAACACCACTGCTCTATAGGCTTGACCTTGGATGCCATGATTATGTTTCTTCATTCCCTTCATCCGTTTCCAGCTCTGAGTTGTTCAATTGCTGACATGCATGATCTTCTGCCTCCCTCAGCCCACTGCAACAATACAGACACACAACTAACCTAATCTGAGATGATATATCTCAACTGCATCATCACCAAAGTTTTCAGATGAGTGCAAACTTGCATTCCAGTGACTTAGAGTTCCTTGCTGCTTGTGGGCATTTGAGACAATGATTGAAGACATTGTCTGTTCATGCCACTCAGACATGAACAGACAATGCCTTTACAATGTTTTAGTGCTAATTATGACAGCACCTAATTGCTTTTGAGAACCTTAGAACTTTTATCTGCTATCAATTACATTTTAAAAGTAACTTTCAAAGCTGTAGAGTGAACAAAAAATGATTTTGACACTTCCAATCACAGCTGCTTAGCAATTTTCCAAAATATAGTATATTTATTACACATATATAATTGGTATTTTTCTTATATAGAAGATGCGATATTTCTTAAATCAATTTCTGCATTTCAGTGACATTTGTCTGTCTGTGCTATAAATTAGTATATAGAGCTAACATAACATAGTAATGTTTTCATCAATGATGATGCATGTACAAGATTAAAAGGACTAACCTTATTATGGCATTTCCTACAGATGAGAATCAAAAAGATAAGACTGAGATAGTTACTAACGAGAAGATTCCTGAATGTACTATTACTGGCGGTGAAGATCAACATACTAACCTAGAAAATGACCTTGATTCTGATGGTAATTCAACTAATGGCTATTTTGTGTCTTTTACATGACTAACACTAGTTTCATCTGCAGAGTGAGAAGTAATGCTTCTGTCCTAAGGCTGCAGTCCTATATACATTCATTTGTTCTTTCATTTCGTTTCATTTCATTTCTATGCTTTCAAATTCCTGGTAAAGGGACTCAAAGCAGCTCTCAAATTTTTTTAAGACATGTAAGTACAGTAAGTTTCAACATTAAAAAATTAATTAAGCACATGACATTAAAAAGACTGGTGATTTCGGAAAAAAACTTTTAAAAATCCACACCTTTCCACAATAAAAATTACATTTTAAAAGTTTGCTTATTACATTTTAAAAGTTTGCTTAAAATAGAGAGTTTTTACCTCTCGCTTTCCTAGGGAAATCATTCTACAATCTGAGAGCAGTCACTGAGAGGGCCCTCTTTCACATCCTTATCAAACAGACCTGCCTAGGTGATGGAGCCAAGGGAAGGCTCTTAAAAACAAGGGTCTGAAGATCTTAAAAACAAGGACAGTTCATAAGAGGAAATATGATTCTTCACACAGTCTGAACATGAGTCTTGTACTGCTTTGTAGGTCATAACTAACACTTTGAACTGGGTTCAGAAGGAGACGTGTAGTCAGTAGAATTGTTGTAAGCTGTATGTAACCAACCCTGATCAGCAGAATTTCGAACAATCTGAAGTTTCTTCAAAGGTAACCCCTTATAGAGCATATTACAGTCATCCAGGTGTGATATAACTAGGGCATGTGTCAATTTATACGTATCAGAGATCCCCAAAAACCCAGCACAGCTGGCACACTGACTTTTAACTTTGCAAACGCACTCTTGGCCACTGTCAATGCCTGGATGTTGTTGCTCAGAGATGAATCTGGGAGCCCATACAAGCTGTAAACCTGGAGGTGTAACACAATTCAGCACACCCTGGATTCCTACTCCATGGTTTGCCTGTTGACAGGCAGAGGCACCTCTGACTTCTATGGATTAATCTTCTATTTGTTTGACTCAGTACATTCATTACTGACAGCAGACACTGATTTAAAAGCAGAATAGCATCCCGGGATGGAAATGAGAGCTATACTGCCAGCATATTGATGGCACCAAACCTCAAAACTCTGGGAATCGTCTCCCAATTTGACCAAGACGTCAAACAGGAACCCATCAGCATTCACTCCTTGGATATAGACCATTCCAAAATGGTGCCTTCAGGATCCATCCTAGAGAGATAACCATGGTCAGTGACGACAAAGGTTGCAGAGAGGTCAAGCAGACCCTAAAGGGATATGTTGCCCCTGTTCAGTGTCTTCAAAGATTACCTACCAAAGTGACCAAAGCTATCTATTAGTTAATAGCCATGAATATAAAAGAAATGACAAGTTTCATGGGAAATTGATTATTAATACATCTGGCTCTGCCATAACAAACTAATATGGACCCCTTCTGGGAACTGAAGAAGACTGTTTGCTTTCAGATCTTTAGGAACTTGGATTTTTGCCTCACTTGAAAGTATATTTCCACAGTTATCAACCTACAGGTTTTAGAAGAGATAGCCATGTTAGCCTATGCTAGCATATCAGACGAAAACAACACAAACATCTCAAGTAGTGGACTTTATTTTCATTTTTGTTTGTTATTGCTTAACAATCTACAAGTAACAATCTCTGGGCCATACACAGTACTGGCTAAGAATCCAGTCTTAAATCACAACCAGAGTAGGCCCATTGAATCAGTGGAACTTACAGAAGAGTTGATTCAGCAAATCCCACTAATTCAATGGGCCTACTCTAATTGTGACTCACTACTAGATTTCAGCCTGTGTGGTATGAACAGCTTAATAAAGGAATACACTAGACTATTACTGTCTGTTTGTTTTTCAAAATTATTTGCGCACATGCATGTGTGTGTTTGTAATTGTTTCATTGCTTGGTGTAACCAGGTTCATCTGTATTCAAACCCTAATGAAGGAAACAACTCCTTGAAAGAAAAGCCGTTTCGTAATTAACACGTGCAGCTTAGCAAAAAGAGGAGGTGCTAACACTACAAGTCTGTGATCTTCCTTGGGTTCCTGTAAAAGGATTGCATTTGGTGTGCATTTGCTTGAGTATTTTATTTTCCAGGATACAGAGCCTTAATGTTTCGTACAGCTTTTTTCTGGGTTCTTCAAGCATTCAAGAAAAATGTTGTCAGTCAGGCCCCAGAGTTTTTTCTTAATAATTGTTTTCATGTCTTTCTCTGTGACCCGTGTAAAAATCAGGGCTTTTTTTTTTGTTTTTGTTTTTTATTTTTGTTTGGAATCAGGCAAGATGATGTTTGTGCAATAATTCCCCCCATAAGAAATCAAAGCAAAAATATATGGTTGAAGCTCTATGCCCTGAAAGCGAAAGAAATTAGATCATAGATCCGTTTCCTCTGCTCCATTAAAATATGGACCCATTGATGCACCTTTCTGTAGCTTCAGTTCCATTTCAGGTCAACTCAGCAGGATAATCTCACTAGCCTCACCGTTTCCTATATAGCACACCCCAAGAGTATACAAGTGACACTTAGGTTTATAAAGTGTCAGCTTCTACAAGCAGCACATTCACAATGCCGTGATATGCACAGAACAGCTCTGTCCATAATCTTCACTAGTCCAGTCCAACTGCTCTGTGTTTGGTGGAAAGAGGATTCATAGTGTTTCGTGATCTTAGTGTTAGGTAAGGTGTTGTTTATTTGTTTTTTTCTTCTTTAAGGAATCAAAAGGGGGAGTATACTTGTTTATTTAAAATATTTATATACTACCTTTCTCCTAAGGATTCAAGGCAGCTGGCTACTAGTGCAAAAAGAAACAAAGCTAAAAGCTAAAAGAATAAGTTGTTACAATATTTAAAAAGATTTGAACAAATATATTAACATTTATAAATACTGCTGGAGCAATATTAAAAGCAGAAGTAAAGCAGCAGAATACAATAATCCCTTTTGTTTTTCATTTTGTGTTTTCTTGATGTGGAAATTAAGATCCAAAAAAAGTGTGTTAATGTCCCCATGTTTTGAGTTGAAGATATAGTTGATTATTGGTCTGAATTTCTTTGCTTTTAGGGGTATGGCTTCATAAAGTCTTGCTTTGAACTGAAGAAATATTTTCCCCATCCTCCTCTTTGGAAATTTTCCCTGCTTTTTGAAATGTAGGAATACATAGGCATCCATGTAGGAAAAGGAAGTCTATTTCTATTCAATAATTGTAGGTAAGGTGGATTTTTTAAAAAAATAATGTAAGAATAAACCATACCCACTCAAACTGCCATATTCCTTGCAGTACATGGTTTCACTTATAAATTTGCCTGCCATAGGATATTTGTGTTTGTTGCTCAAAGTTTTTCCCCAGCAAACACATTCTAGGGTGAGATTTGTTTTATTCAAAGCTACTCCTACTTAGGGGAATGTTCAAAAAACACAGTTTTTACAGTATTAATTGCTGTTATACATTGTCCACTGTGCATTGTTCATTTAACTAAAAGACACAGGTAGAGATATCAAGCATTAGAGTGTAACAGTATTGCTATCCCTTTATTGCAGCTACAGAGGAAGTTGAACCATAAGGAGCTTGAACTGGCCAAGGCCTCTTGGCCACCTCCAGATAGGGCAAAATTTCTGTCCCCTTTTGCCCCTGTTGATCATGGTTCATTATGGGGCTTACCATGGCTTACATACGATTCACATCCATACTGTGATTAAAGGGAACTGTTGGTGCCACTAGTGGACAACCAAGGAGCAGGGGAGTCTGGCTGCATCGTAGAACATACAGTAGACCCTTGACTTGCAGACGGCTTGACTTACAGACTTTTTGAGTTACAGACTTCTCTGGCCGCAAAATTTAGGTTTGACTTGCAGACTGAGATTTGACTTACAGACCAGAAAAAAAACCAAAATGGAACAAAAACGGCCTGTTACGGGATTAATCGGTTTTCAATGCACTGTAGGTCAATGGAGACTTGACTTACAGACTTTTTGACTTGAGAACCGCCTTCCAATACGGATTAAGTTCTCAAGTCAAGACCCCACTGTAAGGGCTCAGGCAGGAGACTCAGAGAGGCTCCCTCTTTGGGTCTTTTTGAGCTCCCTGCAGAGCAGAAAGAGATCACAAAACAGAAGAAATGAGGGAGGAAAGGTACTGAACCTGTGCAAGAGCAATGAGAAAATCTGGCAGATCCATCCTCTTGTCCATGAACAGTTGGCAAAAGAAAGGACTTCCTGTTGGTGCTGTGAGGACAGTTAAGAGCAAAGATAAATTTGGAAGCATCATAGCTCCAAAGCCAACTGCCCAGGAACAACGCAAGAAAAATAAAACTTTGCAGAAGGGTTCCGGCTCAATTTTTGTCACTCTTTGTTCCTGTTAGTACAAACAGTGCAAACAGAAGAAATGAGGGAGGAAAGGTACTGAACCTGTGCAAGAGCAATGTGAAAATCTGGCAGATCCATCCTCTTGTCCATGAACAGTTGGCAAAAGAAAGGACTCCCTGTTGGTGCTGTGAGGACAGTTAAGAGCAAAGATAAATTTGGAAGCATCATAGCTCCAAAGCCAACTGCCCAGGAACAACGCAAGGAAAAAAAACTTTGCAGAAGGGTTCCGGCTCAGTTTTTGTCACTCTTTATCCCTGTTAGTACAAACAGTGTATCATCTGGTGGGGAGCAAAAGGACGGTGTTATCATTGTACTGCTAAGTACTTATCGGGGAACATATATTCCATCTGGAAGAGCTCTTGCTAAATTCAAAACAGTGCTGAGATTTATACTGGAGATTTCTTAATTCACTCAGCCACTGTGCTATGCTTCAAATTTAAAAACATGATTGTTATTGTGCTTGTCAATACTTACTGTTTATTTTTTATTTTTGTATTTATGCATTTATTTACTGAAGGTTTAGATATATACTAATTTAGAAGCATAATAAAAATGTAAAAAAAAAAGTACATTGAAACACCAAAATAAAACCAGTAGCAAATTATAACACGCTACAGCAAATAGACAACAGTGGCAAAGCAGAATAGTGCTAATATCTAAAACCAATTCTTAAATGCCTAGGAGCATAGAAGAATCTTCACTAAACTAATGTAAGCTCCATGTGAGCTTCACTGCAGTAGGCATTCCAGATACGGAGTAACATCTCTGAAAGGGTCCTCTTTATTGTGGACTTCCACTTCTCATTGGGCAGGGCCATCTAAAGGAGAACAGTGGATGCTGGCCCTGCGTCCAGTTAAGTAGGTACGTGATTTGTTTTTGTTTGTTTTCTTTTAGAAACTCTTCAGAAATGATTAGTAAGGAATTTAATATCCCCCACATTAGGAGATTCTCTTGCCTCTTCCCAAATCCTCCAAAGCTGAATTCTTTTAGAAACTCTTCAGAAATGATTAGTGAGGAATTTAATACCCCCCTCCCGCATTAGGAGATCCTCTTGCCTCTTCCCAAATCCTCCAAAGCTGAATGAAAGAAAAATGAAAATTGATGGTTTTATGTAACACAGTAAAAATGCATATTATTGTTTTAAGTGGGCTGTACTAGACAAAGAGACCGTGGTATCTTCAAATACTAATAATTTCATTATGGCATTAGTACCCCTGATTTGCACAAATACTATACTTATTTGAAATTCCATTTCTCAGTAGTCTGCATATTGACTGTCCTTTCCTTAGGGAAGTACCATGTTTAGCCAGGGGATTGGGAAAGGATGGATCACTGTACAGTGTAAAACCTCAAGGGCTCTGATAATTATTGTGTCATATCTATGAGATTTCATTTAGTGGCTGAACATTCTGAATGGCAATAACGAGCTTGCTACACAGATACACACAAAAGGAAGGTAGAATAGTGACTGCATGCTTTGCCCTATATGTTAACTTCTACAAGGGCTAGATACTTCCATAAAAGAAAGGAAGGTCAGGGATGCAGAGTAGTTAATGCTACAAATGAGCAATGAGTGGCATGTCTAGAATCCAGGTGAAACCCAACTATTTATGTACAGTAGTATTGGCCCAACCACTTCATTCGCTCTGGAGCTACTTGTCCTTGTCCTCCGCTCTTCCTCAGTAGCATGTTCAATGCCTTCCGACCTGAGGGGCCCATCTTCCAGCCTTTTGGCCTTTTGTTTCTGCCCATGGAGTTTTCTCGGCAAAGATACTGGAGTGGCTTGCCAGTTCCTGCTCCAGGTAGATTGTGTTTAGTCAGAACTCTCCACTATGACCTGTCCGTCTTGGGTGTCCCTGCACAGCATAGCCCATAGCTTCTCTGAATTACTCAAGCCCCTTCGCCATGACAAAGCATGCTCCAACTACCGTACAATTGCACTCTTTTCACACGCTAGCAAGGTTATGCTCAAAATCCTACAAGGTAGCCTTCAGCAGTATTAGAACGGGATATGGATAACTGATTGGTTTAAAATTCCTACAAGGTAGCCTTCAGCAGTATTAGAACTGGATGTGGATAACTGATTGGTTCAAAATTCAGAAAGGAGTACGACAAGGCTGCATGTTGTTTTATTTAAGTTGTTTTAGGGAAAGGAGTATGACAAGACTGCATGTTGTCTCATTTAAGTTGTATGTAGTCATCATGCGAAAGGCTGGACTGGATGAATCCCAAGCCAGAATTAAGATTGCTGGAAGAAACATCCACAACCTCAGATATGCAGTTGATACCACCCTGATGGCAGAAAGTGTGGAGGAATTAAAGAACCTGTTAATGAGGGTGAAAGAGGAGAGCACAAAATGGTCTGAAGCTCAGCATCAAAAAAACTAAGATCTTGGCCACTGGCCCCATCACCTCCTGGAAAATAGAAGGGGAAGATATGGAGGCAGTGACAGATTTTACCTTCTTGGGCTCCATGATCACTGCAGATGGAGACAGCAGCCCCGAAATTAAAAGACGCCTGCTTCTTGGGAGGAAAGCGATGTCAAACCTCGACAGCATCTTAAAAAGCAGAGACATCACCTTGTCAACTAAGGTCCGCATAGTCAAAGCTGTCGTTTTTCTAGTAGCGATGTATGGAAGCGAGAGCTGGACCATAAAGAAGGCTGACTGCTGAAGAATCAATGCTTTTGAATTGTGGTGCTGGAGGAGACTCTTGAGAGAGTCCCCTGGACTGCAAGCATTTCAAACCTATCTGTTCAACCCACAGTACTCACTGGAAGGACAGATCCTGAAGCTGAGGCTCCAATATTTTGGCCATCTCATGAGAAGAGAAAACTCCCTGGAAAAGACCCTGATTTTGCAGAAGTGTGAAGGCAAAAGGAGAAGGGGACAACAGAGGACAAGATGGATGGACGGTGTCATTGAAGCTCCCAACATGAATTTGACCCAACTCCGGGAGGCAGTGGAAGACAGGAGGGCCTGGCATGCTCTGGTCCATGGGTTACAAAGAGTCGGGAACAACTTAACAACTAAACAACAACAAGCACCTATGGTACCACAGTTTGTATTTATATCTCTGAGATACGAATATGAAGTGCCCATCTCTACTGAGAACTCACAATCCTAGACGTAATTTATAAGGTGTAAGTCTAATTAGACATAATTTCCATTGGACTCAGATATGATTTATTTCAGAGAAGCGTACATACGAGTAGCAACCAGAATCATTTATTGAAGATATTCTGTGGAACTGTTGTGAAAAACACCATTATCAAGCATGGATGTTTTGTGATCCTTTTATGTAAATTTGTGGACAAATATACCACCACATATTTCCTCTAGATGAAGTGTTGGATGTAGGTCTCAGTTGTGCAAGAGGGCTGAAAGAAGCAGAATGTCCTCCCCCCTTCCTTTCCACAATAGCTACCCAATTGCCTGAATAGGTTACACAGACAGTGAGCAGGATAGGTTGTGGTGCTGAACACCTTGAGTTGTGATACAGTTGCAAGGGGGAAGATTCCCCAGATTGGACAAGGGGGCCTTTTGCAAAACGCGGACCCTGGATTCAGTTCTTAAGATATATGTATACTCCTGGTATCATAAAGAAAGCAAAACTGGAAAATTCGTCCCCATGCTGCTATAGCTTTAACTGTGCCCATTTCACTCATGCATGTCCATTATTCAGAGTCCTCTCAGCTTAATGTACCAGTTGTTTTAAATGAAACATATTTTACTTTAAAGTGTTGCTTGATGGGTCTTTTGTCTGCTTGTTTGTTCATTTGTTTTTAATCTTTATATGGTGCCAGTTAGACAATAAGGGCAGGGATGTGGGAATGTGGTGGGAATGAAAAACAAAATATAAGTTTTCTGTATGGTTAGTTAAGCATGTGGTTTGTTTCAGACGTGCAGGTAGTCACTTAATAGTGCAGATCTTTGAGTAATGAACGTTTGTTTATAAACAAATCCAAATTAGATTTTTTTGGCACACTTTTAAAAGAGCAATTCACTTATTTATGAAGGATTTGTGATTCTAACCATGGTTAGTTAAAACATTTGTACTGAATTCAGTGGGAAGTAATTCAAATAAATATGTTTAGGATTAATATTCAATTTTGGCTTTATGTATAAGAGACACAATGTGAGAGTATATTGTATGAAATACTCAGTACAAAACCTTGTTTATTGGACTCACTTGTTCTTCTCAATCCACAATTATTTTACTTGTAAAGAATTTCCATGGAAACCAATTGATTTACACCAAAGGCATTCACTTGCTACCAATAACATATTAGGGCCCATATTTTAAGTCGAATATTTGAAGGAACTGAGTGGGGAGAGCATGGAGAAAAGAGGCACCAAGAGTCAGCTCATTTAAATATACAGAAATGGCTGTTGTTTATAAAAGAATAGAAAGATTATTATTGCACTACATTTGAGGTTCTAAGTTCTGTGCTCAGCTTCCTTCTCATGTGCAATTTAAAGATTACAGGTAGAACAATACAAATGTAATCTCTTAAATTAATACATTGTTATAGTGACTCTGCATCTTTTTATTCTCTTTTTCTATATGTGTCTCTCTCTCTCTCTCTCTCTCTCTCTCTCTCTCTCTCTCTCTCTCTCTCTCTCTCTCTCTCTCTCGTAATGTGGGGTTTGCGTATTTAGTTGAACAGAATAGCAGATTGGTAGATTTAAAACTGAAGAAGCTCCAAGAACCGCAACCACAGGTGTCAAGTTCACTTTCCAGTGCTGCTCAAAAAGGAGAAACAAGTAGCACAGAGCAAGAGTTCAAGGTAAGTCGTTAACTAAAGTCCTCCCAAATCAAAAGTTTTGTCTGTGCAACTAAGTAGTACCACTTGCCTGACTAACAAATGTGACTTTTCTTAGTGTTTGGTTGTACTACAAGTGATTGCTCTCTTTTGCCATTGTACTGAGAACTTGTTGTCACTTTCTCTATTTCAACTAATTTTCTCAGTCACATCAGTGTTCAGTTACAGGAGCCAGGACACATTATCCTGTTCACCTTGAAGCCAGTTCTCTCATTTACATAAACATGAGCAGCAGCATCTTTGAAGCCCCTTTTAAAAAAATAAAATTTGTTGGTTTTCCTTATCTGGAATCAAACAGGTGCATACACCTTAACAGGTTTCTGACTGATACCGAGGAGGGGATTACAGAGGGCACATTTGCACCTCATACTTCTTAGGTAATGGAGAAATTCACCCTCATTATGGAATGTAGGATACTTGTTCTCTCATTGCTCAGTCTCTATCCATGCATACATAGATGTTGATGCATTTGTTGGTACATGCTAACAGCTTATTGTCTTTATTAGGCCATAGCTATTGCTTCTGAGTGAAAAGATTTTGATGACCATAAGGGTAGCTCCACTTATGTATAACTTTTCACCCACCTGCTGCAGGCTGTGGGTGTATGCTCTGCTGACTGAAAGGATTTCCTTCCCCAGATACAGAGATGCTTTGAAGTCCCAAAACAATGACTTTCATTGCTTTTTCCCTTACACTGTCGGTTCCGATAAATTGGTGATGAAAGTGTGTGGCAGCAGCAGAGGACTTTCAGTCTCTATCTTTGAACAAAGGGAAGCTTGGATCAAGTCTGATTTTTTGCGTTCAATTTAGCTTTCTGCAGTGGATTTAATGCAAAATGAAGCTGGCCTCAGAATAATACAATGGATTGAAAAGGCTAACTGAATTAGTGGGCTTAGAGGAATACATTTGTAAAGTGGCAGAAGTCCCCAGTCATAAAAAGGCTTCTTAAAATGGGATTTACTAGCTAATCGCACTGATATTTTAGCATGTTGCCAGGCCTAAAAAATTAGCCATGTTTGTTTATTTTGGTAAAGACCTGCGTTTTGACTGTCATATGGCTATTGTATATACAACGAGAAGAGATCTTTTTCTTAGAAAAATAAAATCATACCAGCTTGATGGTTGAAAAAACAATTCTAGTATGAATGACACTTTTAAGAAACAAAAGTTAGTTCAATAAATGACCCTCCATTAAGCCAGTTTAATTCATTAAGGTGACAAAACTGGTCCTTCTCAATCTAAATACACACTTTTGTGTTCTTTTGGGTACATTATTTTCTTTTTTTCTGCTCCTGCGGCAGAAAGGGTAGCTCGATCTAAACATTTTTTTTAAATGTTATAATAGAAATTGTGTGCTGTCCATCTGTTCTCTTGGAGCCTTCAGGATTGAGTTGGATTTGTGTTTATAATAAAATGCAGTTTACACGTTTATAAATGAGGCTTTCTGTATTTGTGGAAAAGGATAAACTGTTACCTTCCCTGGAGGATTCTGTATCCCAGGCCTCCTTGAGGCTAGAGAATAGGCCGTTGGAGAACTCCCTCATTACCAATTGTCTCAATGCAGAGGAAGGGCAAAGTCTTGGTAGCTTTTGATAACCAGTTTCAGCATTCAGCAGGCTTAGCTATTAGTCATGCATCTTAGCCTTTCCCTATTTACTTTCAAAACACTTAATAAAAATAATAATAGATTAGGTATAAAACGAAATATTTGTTTCGTACACAGCACCTCGATATCTGCAGTTTCCACACACCACCGTGATTTAGTCTTCTGGGATATTTCATGTTGATAGACCCATTTAAATTTGTTACCAATATTAACATAGGAAGCTCTGGAAAACAGTAATTGTAGTTTCCTTAGCTGTAAAGGGTTTACTTACAAGTGTGGATTTGGAAAGTTATAGCTCATGAAATGCAGTGTGTTGAAGTAGCATTATAATCTTACATTTTATTTTTAATCCAGCATTAGTGGTTTTTCTCAGGGGGCACAAAATTAGAAATGAGTTCTGTTTGTCATACAAGTCTGTGGGTCCATTCACCAGAGCAGAATTCTTTACCAGGGGAACACTGTGCACAAAAGACTAGAGCCACTGTGCTGCTGAAACTGTCTATGATGTTGAGGTGCATATACACTGCTGCATAACCAGTATGTGCATACTATGCTCACTTACTCCATGTAGGGGAGGAATAATTTTCATTAAACCCCAAAAACACGTTGGATGCAGTTAACTGATCTCAGTGTCTAGCAACAGAACTGTGGCTGAGCATTCCAGGTTAATAACAAAACAGGTCTTACTTTGCCAAAAACTTGATATATTTTTGGTTCCTGCTATTATTTTTATCTCACACAACCAGTAATGTGAACTATATGTTTTTCACCGTGCATTACTCTCTATATTATATCTTTTTTGTTTCACGTTTATGAACAAAAGAATTTGATGTTCAGTTTTGGTTTTTCTGGCAGAGTGAGACAGAAGAACATCGTGCTGAGCGATTACAAAAAGCAACAGAACGTTTTAGAAATCCTGTTGTGTTCAGCAAGGATTCCACAGTCAGAAAAACTCAGCTTCAGTCATTCAGTCAATATGTTGAAAACAGACCAGGTAGGCAAAAATGTTCTAAAAAGCTCTCCCCACCTGCCCTCAGTCTTATGATTTAATAATATATAACAATAAATATATTAAAAACCTGATAATGTAAATTGACATTTCAATACACAAATATGAAGTATTATAATAATTTTACATGTCTGTCCTCTTTTTCTTTTTCCTCAAGAGATGAAAAGGCAGAGATCAATACAGGAAGATACAAAGAGAGGAAATGAGGAGAAGGCAGAGATAACTGAAACTCAGAGGAAGCCATCAGAAGATGAAGTGCTTAATGTATATTAATTTTTTGTCTGGTTTCATGATTGCTGATAATTCTCAACTGTATGTGGAAATAGTGCTTTTATTTGTTAAAATGAGATGTTAGGTTTTCTTAGATGTCAATCTCCAGTGCATTCAAAGCAGAGTGAGAGGGGTGCGCTGTTGAATTAGTCTGCAGCGTGGTGATAATTGTCAGATAAAAAAATGAATTTTTCAGAGTTCCACAGCTCCAGCTTCCTTGAGACATTTCCATCAGGGCACTTCCCATAAAGAGATTCCAGTATTGATCTACCGGGAGGATTTTAATTATTACAATAGCAGATACCGCAGAGCTGCAGTTAGAGGGAAAAGTCACATGAGACCTGCTAGAATTTCTCAGCCAACCCATTTTGTTGGCTTGGGTTAATGGGTGTTCAACCTTTCCATTATCCAGATCAGCCGTGAATTACTAGCTGAATGATGTTTGCATTAATATAATATATATGGTAATTTCTTCACTTAATTAACGGGGAGGTTCAGCTCAGTAGGGGTATGGGCTGATCATGTGTAAAATTGATTTGTGAGGGAAATATTTGATAGACCGCAGGGAGAAAGCAGCCTTTGATGGACAGCTGCGGGACAGAAGCAGGAAGAACAAGTTTTTGACCTGAATATGTTTTATTTCTGTTTTAGCCCCCTCTCTTTTATTATTATTATTTTTAAAATTTTGTCTGGAGGCACCACATAATTTTTCACAGTAGTCATTCACTGCAGTCCACCCTTGGTCTAGATATATAGTTATAGCTGAGGAACCCAGCAATAACTAAGTTCTAATTCTTATACTAAATGACCAGATGACTGAGCATTTCCCAGCTGATAATTTTTTTTAATTGAAGGACAGCCCTACTTTAATAGAACTGAAGAGGTCTTGCTCAGCAAGTTCATAATATGTATGCAAATTGTATACAGTATCTGAACTCTTGGGAAGTTCCATCCTGACACAGCGCTCTTTTTAATAACAATATTCTGTAGGGTCCTGAGAGGTGGTGGTGACAAAATTGTGTATTCTTTTCAGTTAACCACAGAGAATTACAGTTACCACCCATTATTATTCCTCCACCCGCATTTGTTCTTCTTTTCATATACTTAAGAAGCTACAACAACCAATTTTGTGGGGGGAGGAATAGAAATAAGGAAAGTAAATTAAGCTTTTTTTTAAAAAAAAAAAGTTATTTCTGCTTCTTGTGGGATGGAGAGTATCCAGTAAATTTACATGGATGCCTAATGCATACCTACGTTAAAATTTCCATTGTCATTTGGTTCAGGCAGAGATATCATCCAATGAGCTTTTACATCAGGGTTCGGTAAAACTGTTCTCTATTGATTCATTCAGCGACTACTGTATTTGAGGGCAAAAAAAGCAGTGTTCCAATTATCTCTTACTGGCTGTCTAACCTCCAACCCAGCAACAAGTGGGTCAGGAATAAGAAAATGCTACTTTTTTTAAAAAAAAAGGGGTGTTTTTTTGCTCATAAGGCAAAATCTGTATAAACATTCCTTTGCAAGAGCAATTAGATTCCAGAAGACAATTGAATTCCCAAAATGAGCATTAGTCTGTACTCAGTGCAGATTAGGTTCCTTCGAGAGACTTGGTGGTGATTCCAAAGTAAATGAGGGTGGAAGTATATCATAGGGCTTCCTTTCCCACTTTAATACGTACTCAGCTCTTCCACTGCCCAAGCAAAAACCCATCTGCAATCTACTTGAGTCCCCTGTTCTTTTCAATCACTTCTAGTGTATAACTTCATACTTTTAGAACATAGAGTGAGAAGCCACCCTTTATACATTACCACACTTTAGTATTGCTAATTTTCATTACTAGCCTAAAAAAAAAAAAAAAAAAAAAAAAACCAGAAGATTTGGAAAATCTGTTTGTCTGGCATCCATGAATCTTGAACACTTGCATGTTCTCTTTCTTTCTCTCTTCCTTACAGACATGCTCTAGGAAAATTTAATATGATGAAAGAAGTGTTAAAAATGAGTCCCAATGAAGTTGGAATTGCTCAAAAACAAGTCACAGAGCATTTTTTGCTCTATATTGAGGTTGCACCTGAAAATCTATGTCAATCAATTTTGTCACTAGTTGTCAGGATAAGAATTGTTAACATCAGTAACTGGCAATACATATAACAGAAACTGCTGTTGACGAAGCAGGAGAAGCTTCTGCTGTAGTCCTTCTAGGTGCTGCTATTAGAACTGATGAAAAATATAAATATGCAAAGTAAGAGTGTGGTGTTTACTGTAATTGGAGGAGTGCTTGTTTGTTAAAGTTCTTTAAATTCTCCCTGTTTCTAGATTTAGCTCTTCTTCAAAATACTTCCTTTTCCATTCTTTTTATCAAAATGAAATAGCTAAAATTTGGCTATTTAGAGTAAAATAGTATTTGTGTGATCTTTTCCCTGTTGCAGGAGAAAAGATGCTTTGTAAGTGAAAGTCAATTATGCTCTTTAAAGCACTTTATGTTGATTCATCTTTGATCTCACATAGAATAGCCGTATAGTAGAGCAGGTTTGAAAGGAAAAAAATACTTGGAATTTTAAATGTCAGTGAAGAGGTTTGAAACGGTAAAACCAACCTTCAAGTAAAGGTATTTTATTATATCACCCCTCAAAATAACATTTAGCGAATGGATGAGATATATGAATTGTGTTTCCTGTTTTGGTAGTAGGCATAATATTTAGGTAAGTGCTTTACTAAGTGTTTCCGGAAGAGAAAAATGCAACTTAACAAGTGATGTATTTCCTTGTTGTTTGTTCTCTTTAACAGAAAGGGTTCAAAGACACCAGTCAGTATGTTGTAGGAGAATTGGCAGCACTAGAGAATGAGCAGAAGCAAATTGACACCCGTGCCGCGCTGGTGGAGAAGCGCCTTCGCTATCTCATGGACACAGGTACGGTGCCCAATTACACTGTAAACAGTTTTGGCAAATTGAGCGTTCACAAACTCTTATAGAGTTTTGGAAGTGTGAATCTTTGAAGCTTGAATGTTCAGCAAAACTGCCTTGAAAATAAAAAGGCTGCGATTTGCAGCCACCTCTCTGGGCCCTGGTGATAAGAGTGCCTTCATGGGAAGTGATAACTTGCCCTGATACCGTGTGAGCCAGCACTATTGAACAGTGTGCTCATCCATGCAGAGTTGGAATACACATCTGTGCCTCATTGATATGCCACTGCTAAGAGGGAGAGGGAGAGGAAGAGAGAGAGAGAGAGAGAGAGAGAGAGAGAGAGAGATCTTCACTGTTCTACTGATTTCAGTGGGGAGAAAAAGATTTGACCAGCTAAAGCCATGTACCACATGAAACAGAGCACAGTACATGGGGGAAAGCTCCACTGACTAGATCACTGAAATTTGAGAATAGTATCAGGTTATTGATGCTCCACAATTATATATATTTTTCAGGATGGGAGATTTTTTAAAAAAAAAAACTGTATAATACTTTGCATTGCTGGTACAGTCAAAAAGGATTAAAGCCTATAGTTGGGACATCGTACATTGTATTGTTGTACAAAAATCCAAACAAAATAAATATCAGATGGGTTTAAAAATACTGATTTGTATCACAGATTCGCAGGGCACCATTTACCATGTGCTTCAAAACAAATATACACTTGAGAATGAAAACATTAAATAACGCTCAGGGGAAGGGAAATGTATTTGTCTCATGCCATATGCATCTATTAAAGGTAATATAGCCCCAGGCTAACAGTACAATTTTAAAAGTTTGACTTTACACTAGAAAGGCATAAATTATTGAAGTTAGCTAAAAATCTAGGCATATGCTATTACTAATTTACACTGTGTAAAGGTTCAAGGCATTATGTCAAATACATTACATCAAGTATAATGATGAGATAAAATGCAGTATATGTCTACAAATTTAAGCATTCTTTGATTTCTAGTCATTACCTTGCCAACTCCTGTTTGTTCTTCTTTTTTTAACATACAGAAGGATAAATATATCCAAATATAGCATGAGTGAACCCCTTATAAAGAGAAAAGACTTTTTCTGTACTTAGAAGTCTAAAACAATTGTTGTCTACTCCTCTAGTAGTATATAGAGCTATAGTAGCTTATTTCTTACATTTGCTTTTTTTCTGTTCTTATAAGAAAATTAACGGTATTTTCAAGCTGCTTTTTGAATGTATAACATCATAAAGGGAATGTTGTTGGCTATTGCATTATACAGACCTTACCTACACAGCTTTCATTCAAAATATGAAGAAAGAAAGAACTGTAAAAATGTAGATTTAGAGGACAAATATCATTGATGATTAAATACTGCATAGTCAACTTAGTATAAGTCCATGGGAACTTTTTTCGTATTCCAGTTAAAAACATTTCCATTTATAACAACACAGTGTTGGAGGAAGGTCGTCTCCAGATTTTTCAGAATGCGATCAGTTCAAACATTAGGCGGGAAGGGTTTCATGGGCTCGTTTCTTTTCTATCGACACTCTATTTGTCCTGATGTTGGGATATTTCTAGCTCTTCCAGCTGTTATTTATGTAGGAAATACCATTAGGAGAACCCATTTATTGATGGGCAACTTTGATGTGTTGTGGCATTCTTGAATGGGTGGCCATCAGCAGGGTCCCTTGAAATCTATTTTCCTGCATGTTTCACTAATGTAAGATACATACACCCTTCCATTGGTTCTTACCCTTTGTTCCATACAGATATCCTTCCTTATAAATTGTTTATTTCTACTAGCTTCTTTCATTGTAGCTACCACTAAAATCCGCTGTCAATATAAGTAGCTATATGGGACATTAGCTTCAGTTTTTGTTTTTTTGTGCCAGAACATTTATGATGTGAGCTTTAACTTAGAACCTCATCAAATTATCTGAAAAGAAGTAGTGTATTAAATAGATGCATTATATTTGTGCATTATGGTAACACTTCATGATAACATTTCCATTTAATAAATTATTAGTAGTAATGCAAATGTTTTAGGGTACATCTAGCCAGACTTATAATCAATAAGTGTGGGCCTAGCGAATGCTCCATTTATGAATTTTAGATATTTTTAATTTTTTTAAAATGTTAATTATTTTTAATCTTGATCAATGTTTATTTGTTTTTTAATATATAGTTTTGTACAGTATTTTAACTTATTATTGTACAATTTTTATTGTTATGAGCTGCCTTAGGTCCCCTGTGGGGATGAAGGCAGGATAGAATTACAGTGGTGCCTCGCAAGACGAGCGCCCCGTTTAATGACGAAATTGCATCACGACGAACTTTTTGCGATCGCAAAAGCGATCGCTTTACGTTGGTTTCAATGGGGGAATTTTGCTTTGCAATTATCGGTTCCCTGCTTCAGGAACCGATTCTCACAAAACGATGATTTTCGGCCAGCTGATCGGCAGTTTCAAAATGGCCACCAGGTAAAAAAAATGGCTCCCCGCTCTTTTCTGGGACAGATTCCTTGCTGCACAGGCAGCGAAAATGGCCAGGCTATGGAGGATCTTCACTGGACGGTGAGTTTCAAGCCCATAGGAACGCATTAATCTGGTTTTAATGCGTTTCTATGGGCTTTTTTATTTCACATTACGACGTTTTCGTTCTACAGCGATTTTGGTGGAACGAATTAACGTCGTAATGCGAGGCACCACTGTAATATGAACAAATAAACTTCCACTGTGCTAAAATTTAGAAGACTGACAGAGCAAGTGGTCAAAACTAACAAAGGATTTTTTCTTCTTCTTAAAAATGTGAATTCCTTTTCAGTTAAACAAAACACTTCTTTCTTACTCTGAAGTTTTCCTGTCTGTAATACAGACCTGTGTAGGAAAATCCGTCTAGAGCATTTTGAACTGGCAGGTCATGCCAAGGAGGTTCTGCCATGTGAGCTGTCTTGAAGAACAACCACTCTTTTATTTGAACTTATTAAAATTATTTGTTAAGTTTATTTGAATTGGTCCCAGGAGCATGTGGAAAAAAAACCAAGGGGGTACATCTAAGCACCTAGGTCTCCTTGGTCCCAAAGATTGCTAGATCTTAGGATGATCAGTACATACAAACTGAACCACTCTCTTTTTCCTCCTGGTAACTGTAGTCTCCTTATCTCTGTATTATTGCCCATATCCACAGATGTGACCTTCATCTGTGTTGGTTTTTCTAGGTTTTTGTTATGTAGTCAAGGCTCCCCCCCCACTGCTACCATCCCCACTTGACTTTAAAGTGTCTCAAGGTAGCTTAAACTAAGATAGCAATAGGTCACTGAACCATCTTGTTTATGGTCCTTACAAAGAAATCTTTCTTATGAGAAATATTTGGGCTCCTATTCTTTGAATATTCAAAATGTTCAGAAAGCTTGATAAAGAAAATAGAGGTATAGCTTCAGCATTTTGACATATGTGTTCCTAGAGTGAACACAGAGTCGCTCAGCAAGCCATGTGGTCAACTTTCTTTGTAAACTACGTTTTTTCCCCAGCCTCCAGTAGTGTATGCAACCTCAGTTTTCCCTTTACTCTGTCTTTTTCACTTTTTCAGCTTTAGCAAGGCAATCTGCCTTCCTTCACTCTGTTAATTGTGAGCAGGAATATTTCTTGATAGTTCTTTAACTCTTTTGGCTTTCTTCTTTGTTCTCCATGGGTATTAAATTGTGCTGAGGGATTATCCAAGAAAATTGTTGTCCATATCATCCCCAAATGTCACTGGTTGAAGACAGAGGAATCTGTAGCTTTTCTCATAGCTGTGTTTCTCTTCCTTCTGCTGTCAGTTCTATTTCAGTGTTGATCTGGCTTAAAGCAGGATATTCCTTGTTAACATGTCATAAAAAACATGTTTTGGACAATTAATATCTGTTCCAAGTCCTTGTTATTTCCACACTCAATTTTCATTTTGATGGCCAGCAACATATGATAGAAGTATAAAACACTTGCACTGTAAAGAATACAGCATATTTTTGTGTCTTCCTAAAATAATTTATTAGCAATTTTGATATGAAGAGAAGGCGCAAGAGCAGTTGGGTCCATGGCACATTTGGTGAGTATGTGGTTCAGTGAACATGTAGTTTATGGATACAAAATGTGTTCCCGGTGTGTGCACAGATTTGCCCTCATAATTTCATGTAATGGAAAAGCTTTATCGTGCAAGAGAATGCGGGTGTTGGCACACACACTTGGTTTTATCTCATCTGACATTTCTAAAATATCTGCACTAAAATCTATGGTTTTCACTTAGAATCACGCAGAGCAGTCTGTTCGTGGTGCCTGATTTCAGTAAGTCTGACATATGTACTGCTTTAGGCTATCATGCTGCCTAGTAGTGTCTCAAGACCCACTGCTAAGACGAATCATTAGAAGTTTTCTGTGGCTGACAAATAAGAAAAGATATCTGTGTTGAATGTGATGGACTTCCAGTAATGAGGCATGGTGAAGTCATTATTTTTGTTTGTTTGTTTTGTTTTAATCTCTTCACCACACAGCATCCCCATCCCTGACTCTTAGTGAATCTGGCACCTCTTTAAGAATCACCTTTGCCAAGATCTTTTGAGAAGACAGGAAGCATCTGTTTCTCCTAACAAAGAATAGAATCTATGCATATATAACTTCAGTTGGTTATTAGGTGAATCTAAGTTAAGGGATAACACTTTTCTGAGAGGTGTTGAAAGTAGAGGTAATTAGAATTACAGGTGACTGATTTACTGTTGAATTTTGATCATTTTCATTTGGAAGGTGTAACTTATTCAACTGGTTGAGCATATTTATATTTCCAGCATTAGAAATCTTTGTATTTCCTTCACAACCCAGAAATGGACCTATTTAGGCAATGTATTTCTCTTGTTTTCATTAGAATAGAGAATAGCTATAAAGAAAGCAGATTTAAATTAATTGAAAACTTTCTATCCCCTTTCAGGCTCTGAGGCTTCCTAGGCCTCCCTTT